TTATTTTTTTGTCTCTTTATTCTTTACGGTCACTACGAAAGTTGATTTAAAACGAGTCATAAGACACATTATATTGCAACTGCAATTCCTTGAATACGGACATTTTAATGTATAGAGACTGTGCATGACATTGGCAATGGATGCTTAGTAATAAAAATTTGATACCTTTTATGTTGCCTAATTGCTTTTATTTCATCATTTCCTATTTATTTACCAATTTAGTAAAAATAATAAATAAATCACTAATTAAATAATTAGGTTAAAAATACAAGTCTAGACTGCATGAAATATACATGAAATTCCAATTCCTAAAAAGGCTTTACATTCCAAAATGTATGAAATATAAGTTAAGCCGGCGGTAGCTGAAATGTAGGTACAGTAGCTTAGCGAGGGGGGGCGGGTGGTGTACCCAGCCCCAGCTCTTGACAGAGTCGGCAATCTGTTTAAAATGAATCGGAAAATCAACCGTTTTTGTTACCCTTACGTTTGCTTGATTGATTTCATTTATTTCTATAATTTCCAAATGAAATGCCATCAGTGCATACGAAAATCAGGATATTGATTCATCAATTGACATATTTGTAAAATCTACTTGTCGTTGCCAAATACACGAGGCAAGTCGGCAATTTAATAAAAATCAGTCCCCCATTATCGACGACCCCTCTACGCCCCTGTGTAAATGCGCCAACGGCCTGAAGTCCGAACTAAAGTGTTTTATGTAATAGATCAATGAATTTTGTCAACATCTAATTACCATGCAGCTGCTACGCACAAAACTCGTACAAGATCTCCGTATTTAAATGTTTGATTGAAGTAAAGTGGAATGCGAGCTTAGCCGGCGGAAGTATACCTAGCTAGCTATATAGAGCCGCCGGTAAGTGCTACAATGCCCTGTGTGTATAATCATCATCATCAGTATGCCCATTATCAAGCTCTTAAGTAGGTGTCCCTGGCTTTCGACATACAAATGTGTCAATAGCATTCTGAATGCACAATCAAGCGCTGGCTGTATCGCATAAGGCGGAAGCTCTACTTCGTCCTTGTTGATGTTGCTCAATGCAACATTTAGCACGCCCTCTGCAAACAATTTCGACAGCATTGGCGTCTTGAATCCCCCTTTGGTCAGCTCGAGTCCAACGCGAATTCCAACGACACCAGTCCAATCACAATAGCATCATAATTGTGGTCGCTCACATCGCAGACGGCTTTGCAGTCGCACACGACCATGGCACGTGCGAACAGCTTTTGACATTGAGACACGCAGAAGGTGTAGAACTTCAAAAATAAACATAATTTGTAACGGAACAAGAATTCCTTTAAATTAAAATGTAATGCGAAGTACAATAGTTGTTGTGCTGATATCAATTAAATGGGAAAGACTAGCCATATTTGAGAACTGGCTGTTAATACTCGCTTAACTAGTCATATAAGAGAATGAGTTAATGTATGTATATACGATATAACTACAGCCCATCAGCCAAACTAATAATTACGACTAATAACAATTATATTCCCCAGAGATAATGCTACTACTTATATTCCTATAGAAGTCTGGTTGTCAAAGTGCAATCTACCTGAAATATATTCACTTGCTTCAATCGAGGGAAAATAAAGGAAAAGAAGATAAATAAAATTTACGCTTTTCAACTGCCAGAATTAATTAGCTCGAAAATCAAATTCATATTTCTCATTTTTAAATACATTAAGAATGTTCATTAAAACAGTGTTGCTTTCATATATCATTTTTAATGCAGCTCGATAGATAATATGATATGATATATATAATAGAGATATATATGAGTTGCGTTTATTATTGATCAAAATATGATGTATTTATTGTTAATGTATCCAAAAATGAGAGTCAAATGCCATTAAAGATTATCTTATAAAATTATTTTAAAAATTATTTCAACCTCTTCCCATCTTCAAATAATTAAGCACGTTTAGCTACAATCAAACCAAAAGTCTTTCTTGAATAAATATTTAAAAAAAAATAAAAGGAGTTCAGAGGCAATTCTCTATGGCTATTAATGTTGTAGTCTATATAGAGAAAGAACCTCATAAAAATTCAATTCGAGTGGGAGCAATGTGCGAATATTGCACAGTTCAATGCCAATTGAATACACTCAATTATTTGGCTTTCTTAAGTTTACTGAAAACGATTGTTGACCCAAAGAGACCCTAAGTAACTCAGATTTGCACATGTTGGCAATAGAAATAATACCGTTTCTATATATAATGTTTAGCATCACGGTGATCTAGCAATTTAACTAAATTATTGTCGACTTAGCAGCGACTATTTATAGGTAATCTAAATTGGTGGAACTCGGCTTAAAATTGTTTTTTCAGCTGTTGTTTGCCAAGTCACACCATTGCTGGTATTAGTTTCTAGTAGACAACGTCGATGTCATCTTTTTGCCATGGCACAAACTGAAAGCTGCCCATTTCCACGAAAATCATCCCAGCGGCAAACGAGAACGAGCTCAAAGACGACGGCAACGGCAACGGCAACGGCGACGACGACGGCGACGGTTGCAAACAGTTGATTGCCAGGGCAAACATCGAACGGGCAATGGCGAGGGGCGCAGTTAGACCATGCCCATGTCGGACAGTGTAAACATACTTAAGAGAAACGAAAACACGAATTATACCGCTTTTTAACCTGCCCAGACGAGGGCACAGCCATCATGCAGTCCAAACAAGGCAGACAGAGAGACAGCCAAGCAGCTAGGCTGGCTTATCGCAATATGCAAATGCGGTCTTCTATGGGCAAATAGACTGGGATCGGGACTGGGCCGTCCGGCTGTATAGGTAGGCAGCGCCAGGGGCAACGTGAGGTGAGAAATGAAAGACTTGAAACASAAACTCGAACTTAAACTTGAACTTGGGCGAATGCATTGCTTTCCACTGGATATTCCCGAAGGCAGCTCCGAGACGGCTAATTGCTATCGGCTCTGGGCTCTCGGCTCTCGCGCATTCTCGCGCATCCTTTGTGAACCCGCTCTGGGTGCGTCTGCCTGCTGGTAGGACGAACGCTTGTGCGTTTCCGTATTCTTTGTTTATGAGTTTACAACCTCAGCCTAATTGAGGCGGGGAAATTCGCTTAGGCTCTCCATAAACTCGAATTGTTTGCAAACACAGGCAGAAAGTAGCCGTCATAAAAGTGCACAAAACGCTTCTACAATACGGTGTGGTAAATATTTAGGGCAAGGTCGCGGCCAAATAGATTGATGTCCAGTTTTCCATGTAAACCCAGCCACGAGACCAACAGCCTCTGCTTCCTAGGAACTGAAAACTGGCCGCAATCGCATTTATTAATGAAACTGCGACGCACTACTGTTCCCTGCCATATATGAATTGAGATGACCCTAGGCTTTGCTTCATCTTTTCCATACTCGTGCTGTCTCTGCAGACTGCTTTTAGATCTCAGTGGCTTGCAGCACTTTTTCCCCGTTTGATTTCTTTTTATTAAGTTTCATAGTTTGTTGATTCTTCTCATTTACTCACCGACTTTATTGCCGCACTGAGCTGGGCTGTAGGCCTGTAGCCACAGTCGTGGCTCCGCAACCTATTCGACTCGACCAACAGTTCACCCCAATCCCCCAGCCCAACTGAGGCGGTCCATTGACACGCGGCGGTGGCCTGAGAAAGACGAATGCACAGCAGATCGAAACTCTTGGCCAGGCGCGTGATCTTCAAAAAGCACAAACAAGTTATAAATAATTATAAACAAAAAACCAACAGAGAGCAACAAAAATCGATAGACGCAAACAGTGTGTAATATCGATTTCTTTACAACACACCTGGCCAATGTGCAAAGCATCTTGCATCTCATTTCTGATTGCAATTCATATATATTAATGAATTAAAATCCTCTACTAAAAACAGACAGTTGAATTGAGAGATGAGACAGCATTTAACTATTCTGTCGACAATCGGATTGAGTCGAGGGAGTCTCTGATTCGGATGACCCCAACTTGTGGCAAGTCAGCATCATTTGACCAAAAATATATATGAACATGTGTACTTATATAAATTGACATTTGCGGTTAAATGTTTACAACTCGAAATTCAGCTGAAAATTTAACAACAACAAAATATTTATGTTTTTTTTTTTTTATACAAAAAAAAAATAGGTGTAGAGAAATGTGGTATGTGAGGCAAACCAGTTTTCGGTATAGACCAGGCAGCGAGGCAGGCCAACAACAAACAGGCATCAGGCATCGTGGAAAAAATACAAAGTTTTAATTGGTTGCGCAAACAAAAGCACAAAACGAGCGTCTAAACAAATCGAAGTCACTCGTCAGTCGGCGGTCAGCAGTAACGACAACAGCGACTGCAAAATAGGCCTCTGAGTTTATTTCGTCATTTGGAGAAAAACACTTGACGCTTAATAAGTGGCGCATGCAAAGCTCGAGAGATTCTCGCGGCTCAGGACGAGCCGTATTGTGCTAGGAGGTCAGCCAGATATCACGATTGAGCAAATTGAATGAGCAACTGGTAATACTCATGCTCATGCTCAGACTCATGCTCATGCTCATGTTCATGAATGATGTTCAAGATCGAAAACCTGAAATGAAGCTTCTACCTGCTGACCAGGTCCAAAGCGATGGCGGGCTGTAAGATCGACAGAGAGAGACTGAGACTGTGACTGAGCGTGAGAGAGAGAGAGAAGGTGTGTGTGTGTGAGTGGGAGAGGGTGATGTACGCGTTACCTGTTAGAAGGTGTGGCCAAACGGATTGCGCTCAGCGGCGATCGTCATTGATCACTGGCGAGAGCGGGACAACAAGACGTTGGCATTCGTCGACAATGGCTGGGAAAGAGTTGACTCAGCCATTGAGCCAAACGTGTAAACAAGATGGCATGGCATGGGCAACAACTCGGCCAAAGAGAAATAGAGGTAACATCTCGCACAGCGACTGCTCGCATACCAAAACGCAAGCACGGCTTGTGATGGTTGAACAAATTAGCACCGACCATCAATCATTAGCTAGGGAACGGTGGCAACGCAAACAACGTATTCGACGGCGGCCCAAACTCGACGACGGCAACTCGAAAAGTCCCACAAAAGAATTCGGCGCAAGCGTTGAGCGATTCTCTATTCTCTATTCCTTCTGCAGTCTGATTAATCGGTATCTGTGAACTACTTTTGAGCTGTGGACGGGATCCATAAATCGAAAAACTCGAAAAAGAAAACTATTTAAATAATTGCGTTCGCGATTGTGTCTGCTGTGTGTGACTTAGTGCGTGATACAAAAAGCTGATAACACCTAATCTATTATTACCTCCTAAAGGGATTACAAGAACAAGCACCACCGGTGCGAACCGGACAATATTCACAAATTATGTAAGTTTGTATCCAAATAAATCTGAAATTTAGTAACCCTAAATCAGGGAGAATTCCAAATCGCCCTTTGCCGAATCTGAATCTGTTTGAATCTGACTTCATATCTTAAAGGAATTCTAGTCCAGTATACGGACACCTTTTTCGAACTGTTATATCCAGATTATTGGTTTGAGATTTCGATTCCAGATTTCAACAACCTGCAAAATTTCTACATATGTAAATATGTAATTGGTTACTAAATCCTGCTGAGCTACTCTCAAATGAAAAATATGGCATAAAGTTGCAATTGATCAACTTATTTTACGTTTTTAAATGACAATCACAACGAACAAATGCTGTATAAGCAGAAAAATTGTCATATAAGTCAAAATAAATATATAATAAATAAAATAAAAAATATTTATATACTACATATATACTCTTCCTCAAAAAAGAAAACGAAAATGTCATTTTCATTCAGCTATTGGTTAGGACAACAATCGATCTCTTACTATATCTTACACTACCTAAACCGTAACAGTTGTACATAAAACCATTCACACAAAAAATGTTTGGAAATGCCCTATCAAGAGTGGAAAGTTGGAGTTACTATTTTCTTATACCCACTTAAAATGGGGAAAGCAGGATACGGCTTAGTTGAAATGTATGTAATAGGCAGAAGGAGGCGGGGCAGACCCCACAAAGTATATATATTCTTGATCAGGCCGACGAGCTGAGTCGATTTAGTCTCCTGTCTGTCCGTTTGCCCGTATCGTCGATCTCAAGTGATCTAAAAGCTAGAAACCTGTTTTTGTTTGGTATTTCAATTGCTTTTTTACAATTTTTATTTGAAAATTTGAATTGCTTTCCATAATACCTAAACATTGGCATTTGTTGCGAACATGAGTCCGAGTCCTTTGGAAGTAAAATTTAAGTTCATAAATACMTTTTACTCACTTAGTACTTAATGCTTTATTTCAATAGTTAAAGATTAAATAGTCTGTCAACTTATGTATCTAAATTCAATAAATATAAAAACGGCAATTTAGAACATAGAAACTTCTATTGACATTATAAACTTTTTATGGTGATTTTGTAAACAAATCTATGGATCTTGAAGGTTATACTGTTACTCCCTCACTTTCATGATTTCACCAGTGGCATTTATGCAAGCACTGCATATTCTATATTGCTATAATAAGTATAATACTAATTGTAGTTTACTTTTTAGAATACCCAACATACCCCATATTCCATATATCATCAAATATTGTATGTTTTTGTCTTCCTTTTAAATTGTCAAAGCGCAGTATTTTGGTATGTATTTTTACCGATATTTATTTGTGGTAATATATTTTTATTACTTTCGGGCAACGGAAAGTATTCGATATGCAAATTTTCAGTTGACAAGCCTATTTAAATAAACGTGTGAAAATCAAACATTTAACCAAACACTATTGCCAAGTGCCGAAAATTCACAAAACACAAAATTTGACACCCGAATCGCAGTCAACACTCGGTTGGCTGGTGGCACTTCAGCGCCGCCTAAATGAAACCAGCAAGTGACAATAGCTCATCTTAATGATCCTAATAATAACTCTAATAATATAAAACAGCAGCGCCATCGCGCCATCGGCCCACGCGACTCTGCCAAGTTGGCTGCTGGCTGCTGGCAGTTGGCAGCTGGCAGCTGGGGACTGGCCTAATGTTCACACGCAAATTAGGAGGGACATAAGAATTTGCTGGTGCTGCCGACACGACCGCAGGCATTTTAATCGGCCCGGCCCGGCCCGGCCCGGCCCAGCTCAGCGCGGCTCGGCAACAACAATAGCTGGGACCCACGCCGGGGCGGCCCGTTTAGCTATGCTAACCAATTACGACGCATGTGAAAATTATCCTATTAAATACAAATCAAAAGAACCAAGGAAATTCCTCCCCGCTCTGCTGTGTCATCGCCATACGCCATACGCCTTACGTCGTACGTCGTACGTCGTACGTCTTCGAGCTGCCGAGTTTAGTACTTGACAAATGCTTACTAATTAATTACAGTTTGTACAATATTTTAGTATGCGTCTCATAAAGTGCGTTTATCAGTGACGCCTCGTTGGCAGAGGCSAAGGCGCAAAGTGTGCAGAAAACAAAAGTGCGATAATATGTGTGTCTTTGACTGCCACGCCCACCCAAAACGGCAGCCCTGACAGCCGCGACAGCCCTGTCCAGCTCATGTCGCACTCCTGCTGACCCAACCGCACTCGCTTCACAGGCAGCAGCCAAATTAAAATGGGTTTTCGGGTTTATTTTCATGTAAAATGAAGTGTGAAATTTAGCGAATCCGTTTAATCGCGTCCGATAAGCTACTAGACTGTCAGAGTGTCCGACAGCCAATGCCACTGTGAGTGCCACTGCCACTGCCACTGCCACTTCCTCTGCGATTGCCACCCGCCAGCAGCGGTTAGAGTCAACGTGTCCTGGTCAGGTGTTAGGCACAATAGTTGTGAAATTCAAATTTATATCGCAGTATTTATTATTAACAAGCGAATTATCGAGTCCACTCTAAAAAAAGACCATATAGAACTTATTTATCGCTAAATACTCTTGCATGTTAGAATGCTTCACTTCCGAAAGTCTTTAACAAAGATGCCATAAAATAATTATATTTCGCATTTAAGAGCTCTGCAAACTGAAAAAAAAAAAATTATGTGTAGTTGGCTTGGAGTACTGCTCAAACAAACCTCGTAATTGTTAATTAATTTATAATTACGCGCTCGTTCGACTGGAAAATTTGCCAGCCTCACATATTTTCCATGGGCTGAGCGCATTCAATTTCCCGCCTAACCAATATTTGGTTACGTTTTTCATTAAAAAATTGTTTCTTTTGTGAAATTGATTTTATAGGTAAATTCAAATCGAGTTGAACAACTTTAATATATTTATATATTATACGTGTTAATATTATCATTATTTCATTTCTTATATAAATATTTCTATACATTTTCATTCACATTTGTTTCTTTTCGTAAATAACTCTCCAGCTATTTGAATATATTTTACAAATTGAACGTTTACAGACGTGACTTCATTGCAAATATATATTTGGAAAAGTCAGCTTTTAGTATCTATACGAATCCAACTCAAATCTGCCATTTTTTTAAGATATACAAATAGAATTGAACACAAGCAATTACTAACACGCAGATTCAAGCCTTTTGCTTTATATTGAGGATATACATATACATGAATATATATATATATCTATATATAGTTATATACGCGTGTGTGTATGTGCATGGGGTACACGAAATGGTCTGAGCAAACATCAAAGTCACGAAATCATTCAAAAATCAACATCGCAAAGTGGATGGGGAAAAAGTCCGACCAAAAGCGTCATGGCAGCCATCAAATGTTAAGTTAAAGTACATAGACAAACACGAACGCACACACGTAGGCACACACACACACACACACACACAGCACAGCACAGCTCAGACACAAAGCGGAACACACACACAGACACGTGTTCCGATGGCACACAAAAACGGCTTTTCATTAGGCCCACTGTTGGAGCGGTGCGAACTGATGTGGAATACAACCCAAATCTCAAATGCCTGCACAGACACACACACACATATATGTGTATATACATACATATATATTCTGTAATTTAAGTGGAGATATATAGGTATTACTGCGTTAGAATAACTATGAATAGGGAATTAAATTATAGATCACATCTAGCACATTTAACTGAACTCGAAATACGTTTTACTACGCCGGAACGGATGTTASCCAACAACGGGCMGAAATTAGCGTACGGAATCAGTGTTTGTGTTTCGGGATCTCTGCCCATCAAATTAGTGAATTGATGGTGTTGTTGCGTGTGCGTGTAACGGGCACATTGACACCCTCTTATCATTGGCGTATTTCAATCAGGGTTTCGGCGAACAGCATCAAATTACGGATACATATTTAACGAATGAGCARCATATTTCATTTCATGSGCTCATGGAAAATTGAATATAAATCAAAGGGAACGACAGATTGGGTTATATTCAGTGGAACAATGGCTTGTTATATAGTATTGAACAATATCCCGAGCACATATATAAAATATTTCCAGCTTGGCCATAAAAGTCCTAGCCAAATCTAGCCGGGGTCAGAGTTCGGGTGCTGCTCCACCGTCGGCATTTCACCTCCAATAAAAACAAACAAAACAATTAATACATTTTGTTAATTTATGATTACAAAACATTGCGAGAAACACTTTCAGTGCCAGGCCAGAATTTAGACATCACCGAGCAGACTTAAAGCGTATGTCTCTTCTGTTCGCCGCCGCGTTTACAATCCGGGCTCTGTGCCGGGGCCGGGGCCGAGCCGAGACCTGGCCATAAGAATGGAATACGTAAAAAGGCAGCGACTGTGATGCTGCGATGCTGCGATGCCGGAGTAAACAGAGGTGTTTGTTACTGTTGCCACGGCCATAAATAAAAAGGGTGCCCGCTGTTTATGGCCAAACAGCCAACCAGCCAACCTGCCAGCCAACCGGCCAGCCAGACAACCAGACAGCCAGACAGCCAGCCAACCGGCCAGCATCCAAGTGCGCGCTTGAGATTCGAGGTTCGGGCGTTCCGAGACCTGAGTCGGACTCTGAGTTTGAATTGGAGTCTCAGACATGGGCAAGGCATAGCTAAAGTGTGCAATATAATTAAAAGCCGACAACAGACGTCGACCGACCATTCTTCTAATGCGCCGGGACAGTGCTGTAAAACTGTATAAAGTGCTGAGATGAGCCGACGCGTCGGCCTGGTCGCTTAGCCCGACGGTCTTTGATGTAAATCCAATGGCGCTGGGCCACAAGGCGGTATTCAAATAACAAATGAAATTCTCTAGTTTTATCTTTACTAACTGGTTGCATTTACAGTCTATTACGAATCTATGACAGAGCTATAGAGCATGTGTCAGTTTAATAGCAATCAGTGGGAATAAACAATTATGAAATTATATCAAATTAATATGAAACAAAACATTTTTGTGAAAGTCTGTTTAAATTAAATTTCGAATAAATTGAAAGCATGCCGTGAGTTACACAGATTAAAAACAATTTCATTCTGATTATGGTTTTAGCTAAAAAATTTGCTTATTGTTTACATTAGACCTAATTGTAAATGAAATTTACAATTAAACATAAATAAAAACTGAAAAAATAATCAAATTATATTAAAAAGAAAATTGTTTAGAGTGTAAAAAAATGCAAGCAATGAAAATATACTCATTATTAATTTCTTCACATTTAAATATACAATTTCTGTTTGTGAACTCTAAAATGTTTTTCAATTTTAATGCTCAAACTTTATCGTCTTCTCTGTTATCATAATTGAATTCTAATGAAATGTTCCAGAACTTCAAAATAACATGTGCTAAAAGAATATTTTATTGCCAACTCAAAAAATCGCATTAAATATTATTTTCTAGCTTTTTATYTTATATCAGTTTAATATAATGCAATAAAAACAATACTGTAGATGGATTCGATTCATTATTATAGGTTCATTCACTAATAAGTATAATAAATAAACATTAAAATATGTATAATATATAAATATTCTTTTAAGGACAATTTTTTTATCATCTTACTAAGGTTCGTGTTTGGCTTATCCATAATTTGATTTGAGCCTTAATATGTATAATATTGAGTTCAAATTATATTTTTCACTTTTAACATAATTTTTATGCAATACAAGTAAATATTTTTAATAAAAGTATATAAACATATTAAACGCATATGGAAAATATTAATTTCAGGGCTCAAATCGAATTATAGATAAGCCAAACATAAATTTGTTTGTATATTAAAAAACTCTTTAGTTCATAAAAATATTTATATTAAATTTTAAGCTACTCGCAATATTAGTTTTACTTTTTGCATAGAGAGGGAGAATTATGTGTATCAAATATTTGCAATGGAAGCTATAGAAAAATTATTTTACCAATTTTAACACAAATAAAGCTCTATAAAACAATGTAAATACCTATTCTAGATACCTCTAGAGCTCAATGCTCGACAGCCCACAATCAAGTCCAGCACTTAATTGAATTTTTGGAAGTTTAATTGGCAAACTGTGAAACTAACTCTTAAAATTGTTGTCGTGCTCTTCTGGTTGAATTGGCTGAGCCATTGGATTGATTGAGCAGTTCTTCTATCGACTTTTATGAAGTGCATTGATAACAGGTATAAAATGTTGTATTCTTGCAGTTGACATGACCACGTCGCACATCTTGTCCGCCGTGGATCCCACAACCGGACTAAATGGAAATGTGGCAGCTGGAGGTAGCGGCGCTGGTGGCAACGGTGCTGGTGGTGGCAATGGAGCTGGAAGTGATTCGCCCTCTCCACATCACGCAGGCCACAATGGACACGGGCACGGACATGGGCATGGACATGGCCATGGCCATGGGCTAGGGGTCAGCGGCAGTTCAGTTGCATTGGGCTCAGCTGGCGGCGGAGGCGGCGGACATCGCATTGTCGGCGGTGCGGGCAGCCCCAATGAACTGGATCGCAATCTCCGCGTCTCGCTGGATGATCGAGAGCTCTGGCTGCGCTTTCAAAATCTAACCAACGAGATGATCGTCACCAAAAATGGCAGGTGAGTTGCATATGTCTCAAGGGCGACCGGGTTGGATGGGTGGCTCGGCCCGCGCTCGGCCCTTATTTTGGGCAGAGCAACGTGTTAAATGGAAGTTAACGTAGCCAACGGCTTCGGCTCGCAGTGCATTTTGTTTTCCTATGCAAATTGGCAATGAGTTTTTTTGTTTTTGCGCATTTGGTTTAGAGCTGCAATGATTTTTCCAGTGCTGCTGTTTGCACCTTATAATGAAGCGTTAACGTTTCCACAGATCCACAGTTACATATATGTAGACAGGTAGACATACGAACAGCTCCAGTTTGTAAAAAATACCTCAAAATATTTACTCAGCTACAGGTGCATATATACGCAAATATATTTATTTGTATACTCAATATGTCTATGGAAATATATATATATTTATATAATAATATGTATATATATAATATATACATTATATACTATATATCGTGTGTGAAACGCGCTTAGAACTTGGAACTAACCGCCCCGGTCTCTGGTCTCTGGTCTCTGCTCGCTGTCGTTCGGTCTCCGGTACCGGACAGGTGCTAATTAACGCGGCCCGGCAACAGCCGCCATCTTGTACTAATTGTTGTGGAACAGTGCGCGGACGGCGCGTTTCAGTATTTGTCCGAAACTGGCATCGGCACCGACACCGAGATACAGAAACACCGACGGGGCCATGCAAAGAGAAAAAGTAATAGAGAGAGGGATAGAGAGGGAGAGAGAGAGAGGGAAGCGAACCTATCCAAGTTGCTTTACAGAGTAGACCCTGGCATGGAATCTAGGCAAATAGTGAGCAAAGGCAAAGCCAAAGGCAAAGCCAAGAATTATGAAATGAAAATGGAAAATCTGTGGCATTCACCTGTCTATTTGCCTATAGAATATTCACAGCTTTATAACTGTTAAAAGCAGCCAATTTAATTGCGAACCTCTGCTCGCTTTGTGTTCTTTCTTTCATTTTCGCAGGAGAATGTTTCCGGTTGTGAAAATCAGTGCCTCCGGCCTGGATCCGGCAGCCATGTACACGGTCTTACTTGAATTCGTGCAGGTCGATACCCATCGCTGGAAGTACGTGAATGGTGAATGGGTATGTGAATGAAACTATTTGCAAAATATCTCAACTACAGCTTGGCATAGACGAATGAGCGAATGGGCGCATGGGCGAATGGGCGGGGCATTGGCGGAAAAGTTGTTTAAATTGAGCTGAAAATTAAACATGGAATACAGAATGGCATGAGCATGAAATTAAACAGAGAATTTAAGGAATAATTTATATAATATTCAACTTGAGAATACAAAATTATGAATAGTTTCGTTGCTTGAGTCTAATAAGTAAACGTAAATTAAATTTTAGCTACATTTTTTATTTAATTGCACTAAACTTCATAAAGAAACTTTGCAATAAATTTATTTTATAATCAAAATTTACAAATTCAGAATATTATATGGCCTTCTAGACCTATGCTGCTAGACAATTCTCTAAATCAAAACATTTTAAACTATTTAGCTCTATGTAAGTCATGCAAAATGTTTGTCCTGCCAAATATAGTGAACGACCTTGCATACTCTAATTTAATAAATAAGTACACAAGACACAAATAACTTGGGCCGAAACTAATCAAATTTGGACTTCCGCATCCCGTATACATTTGGGAATTATTAATTGACAGAAGTTTATTGAACGTGGGCAGTTTAGCTTTTATGCAAAGCAAACTACATACAAAACATATTGATTAAATTAAATAAGTTACTCAGAGAATCATTTAAGTAAATTCAATATAAAGATAAATTTGTAGCATAAGCTTTATTTGAATATTAAATAATATATTTTGGGGAAATAAAGTTAAACAGACGAAAAATAAAATAAAATAAAAAGAAGTAGATTGGCACTTCATAATAAAGACCCACTTGAATGGGTAGACCCTTTATGAGTAGACTTTCTTCGTAATTTAAGACTTCATTTACTCTCTTCAGGAATACTAACTTTCCACTTTGCTCAACAGGTGCCTGGTGGCAAGGCAGAGGTGCCTCCCTCGAATCCCATATATGTGCATCCCGAGTCACCGAATTTCGGAGCCCACTGGATGAAGGAGCCGATTTCATTTGCCAAAGTCAARCTGACAAACAAGACCAATGGCAATGGTCAGGTAGGGATCRAGATTTTACAGTCTTCAAAAACMCAAAGATTAACCTTCTGTTGTTGCCCCTGCACAGATAATGCTGAACTCCTTGCACAAGTACGAGCCGCGCGTTCATCTGGTGCGAGTGGGCTCCGAGCAGCGCCATGTGGTCACCTACCCGTTCCCAGAGACTCAGTTCATTGCGGTGACTGCGTATCAGAACGAGGAGGTCACTTCACTCAAGATCAAGTACAATCCATTCGCAAAGGCCTTTCTAGATGCTAAGGAGCGCCCCGACACGCTCTACCCCCACGACACCCACTATGGCTGGCTCATACCCCCGCCCACGCACTACACGAGCGCCGCTGCGGTTGCCGCACCACCACCACCGCTCTCCATGGCACAGACACACGCCCTAGTGGCACCGCCGTCTGCAACATCCGCCTCGGGCAACGGCTCAGCCAGCTGCGATCGCTATGGTCGCTCCCTTTCCACTCGCAGCTCGGCGCCCAATCGCTCGACGCCCTACAGTCGGCCGCGCGTCGTCTCTGGCTCCGGCTCGAATGGAAGCGCAAATGCCTCGTCCTCCTCGCCGCAGCCCCCTTCTGCTCCGCAAACACCCACCAGTCTCCAGTCGTCCATTGGCTCGATCAGCACCAGCAGCGGCACCAACACAAGCGCCAGCGGCAGCGCCGGCAGCAGCGGCGTCACTGGCTGCTTCAGCAGTTCCTATTCGCAGTCTGGCTTCGTGCCCGTGGAAGCGAGCTCGACTGCATCGGTATTCTCGTATCCCACCAGCTGGCAGAGCAACAGCAACTACTGGAGTCCGACCAGCGTACCCGGTCCCATGCCCGTGAGCGTGTGCAGCAGCCGCAATATATGTAAGTAATGCGAGATGACCCTTAATGGAACTCCTATTTATCCCTCCATCGCGATTACTCCTCTTTAGCCACACACAATTCGCCTTCACCCACGAATGGCTCGCCCAGCTATACGACCCCATCGCCTGGCTACACAATACACCACCTGACGCCGCATAGCCACCAGTACAACATGTCCCAATCGGATCTCTACGCGAGTGGAGCAGCCTGCTCGAGCTCTCCGCAAACCTACGGTGCACCTGCACACCAGGTCTACCATCCGACGCCCACCTCACCCACCCACCAGCTGTAYCCGAACGTGCTGAACGCACCCTCGGCGCTGAGCTACCCGACCAGTGGCTGGCACAACGGCTCCGGCGCCGAGTACGGGCTCTACCAGAACGCGGCCGCAGCCTATTATCAGCCGGAGTATATACCGCTCGAGATAGGGTAAGTGATTGGGGAGCCAGTTGCGCCGCGAACTCTACACTTATATCGCTAAAGTAGCTATCAATGATTCCACTCTCGAATCGCGAAATACGTTACAGCTATGCCACCCATCCGCTGGAGCCCGTGGACGTAACGAAGGCGCTCGATGAGTCACAGTCCGCCATGTACAAGCCAACGGAGGAGCAGACCTCGGTCATCACACTGGAGTGCGCCAGTGCCAATGGTCTGAAGAGCGCCCACAATCACAGCAACGACATCAAGCTGGAGACTCTCGACCACAACGTGGATCGGAGCACGATTCCCCACGTGCCCTTGCCCGTCTCCTTGCCCGTGCCCAGCTCCCTGCCAGCAGGGGTGCCCACGTCCGTGGTCACAGCTGTGACTGCCGACACTTGGACACCGCTAACACCGCCCCAAAGCACTCTGCAGTGATGCTCAGCTAATTACACAAAAAGAAGAAGAGGAAGAAAAACAATATAAGCAATATATATAGCCACTGCACCGCCCCAGCCTTTAGACGCATGTTCCCTACTTGGATAAATCGAGTATTTGAATTAACTATTAAGACCCCTTTTTAAGTAGCACAGCATGCAAAGTACACTGTAGTAAATGTTTTCGTACTTTAAGTTGAGTTTATCTAAAGTTTTTATTCATTTATCTGTAAACAACAAATTATATATATATGTATACATACTTTCCACAATATTATCAAAATTTGAGTTCGCTGGAATTCCCATAAAATTTGATTATAAATTAAATATTTATAGGTAACACATAGTAAGATTTAATTGGTTTATGCACTTTTATGGCCACAGTGGGGCCAACAAATGAGAATGAAATATTTGTTTTTATCGATTAGAGATTGGAGAGATGCCATGGATTACCCCTAAAATTGGCATTAGTTTTGATTAGTGTCCGAAGCGAGCGCAGATACAAACTTTGGCCGTAGCTAATTAAGTTTAGCGTATTGTTTGAATCAAAGGCGAGCTCAGCTCCTCCACAAAACTAGTTTGCAACTACCCGAAAAACAATAGAGCCCTCAAACGCATTGAGACCTGCATGGGAGCAGCCGCAAAATGTTATCCGGGCAGCAATCTGGCAGCTTCAGGAGCAGCAATCCATGAAGCCATGAGCACACAAAATGCACCACAAAGGAACGTGATGATAATGAGTTGAATTGTAAACGTTCACGTACACATGTATGTGTGTATATGTATGTGTGTGTGTGTGTGAACTCTAGAAAGTGCAAAGTGGAGAGTTGAAAGTAATGGCAACTGAATGTGCCACCATTAGAATTGAATAGCTGGACAGCACAGCACACACAGCAGAGCAGGAGCAGGAGCAGCAGCAGCAGCAGGAGCCGTAGCATCTGCACTGCTGCAATTAAAATACACGCCACAATCATTGCCATAGAAATGCGCGAGTCAGCAAGCCAAATTGTGCTCTTAAGGAGCTGCTGCTAGCACTTACCTGGTAGTCCATTGAATTGCCGTAGCCCATGTGGTTGCAGGAGCACGAGCAATGCTTGATATGATGCTCCAGTTCGTCCTCGATGGTGGCGCCACCTAGCGTCGCATTGTGCCCGTAGCAGGCAACACTCAGATCCTGATTATATTTGGCTTGCTTGCGGCCCATGCTCGTCTCCCACTCCCCCTCCCGCTTCAGATAACGAACTGCGCCGCCCTGATGCTCCTCCGGCTGATTTGTTGCCGTTGTCAGGCCCATCATTGCCAGAGGCTGACCAATAATCTGTTGCTGTTGCTGGTGTTGATGTTTCTGTTGTTGCTGTTGCTGTTGCTGTTGTTGATGTTGTTGCTGCTGCTGCTGCTGTTGGTAATCAAGCGCGCTCGCACTCTCTCCCTCAAGAGATGTGGACTTTAACATACGCTTGCCGCCAGTGGATTGCATTGGCCGACTACGATTGGGACTCGGGCCAGGACTGTGGCTCTCTTGCGCTGTTAATGTTAAGCTTCCGCCAGCGCCGCATAAGAGCGCGCGCTCAAAGCTTTTGCTTGGCCTGTGGAAAGCTTCGTAAGCAACAGTTTCGCCATTGCCAGCGTCCTCGTCGATGCCGAGGGCCTGATAGCGCCTGCTTGCCTGCCCACCAGTTGCTGCTGCCGCCGCCGCCGAGGCAGTCACTGTGACAGCCGAACTGGCTGCGGTTAGCATCAGGCTCAGCCGCAGCAGCTCATTGGAGTCCGCTGGCGGCAGCGGGACACTGCAGGAGCCCGTCTCTGTGACGCTGTCAGGTGCATCCGACTCGGCCGTCTCTGCATTCGGCTCGTCCGACGTGTTGGACTCCAGYTCGCTCGGCTGCTGATGTTGCTGCTGCTGCAGTCGAGCGCGTTGGCCGATGATCGAGGCAGCCGTTGAGTTGGCGCCGTATTTCCAGTAGGTCTTGTTGGTGCCCACAATGCGCTGTAGCTGTGGCGTCATCTGCGCTGCTTGGGCTGCCTGGCTCTGGCGCTTCTGTCGCTCCAACTGCTGCAGCGTCTTGAAGGTCTTGCGCACCGGCTGCGTGTGATGGAGCGTGGCGCAGCGGCGCATTGGCGGGGGCGTATACACGGGTGAGACACTGTAGCTGTAGGAGTGGCGGGAGGGTGATAGGGATCCGCTTGATTTGGCACCCACCAGCCGTGCCTTCAGCTTCTTGCCAAAGCCCATACCACCTCCTCCTCCACCTCCAGCTCCGCCAGCTCGCGGGGACAAGGAGTGCGCAGATAGGGAAAGCGCGCGGGAAAACTTTAACCGAGTGCTGCTGCTGGCGACACTGGCAGGCGACTGCCTCTTGGTCGCAATGAGCTGGCACTCGTCAATGGTGGGCAGCTTGAGCAGATGTGGATGCAGTTGCGCGTAAGTCAAAGCTGGCTTAGCATTGGAAGTGGCACTGGCACCGCTGACGCTGCCATTTTCCGCGCCACCTGTTGGCAGGGGCGCCTCGAATAGATTCTTTTGGCTAAGTGCCAGRAACTCCTTCTGCTCCTCCTCCTCGAGCGCCTTCAGCGCGCACAAGTCCCATTCTCCAGACGACATTTCGAACTAAGGACTATCCTTAACTTCGCAATTTAACACTCACATTTCGAGGACACGTCGATGGGCCGCGAAACGCACTGCATAACCGTCAGCACACGGGGCTATTGGCGCACTGAATGCTGTCAACAGACAGCACCGTTATTTTATAACGGCCACTCGTGCCACACTTGCCATCCACAGTGTGGAACGTAAGTGACCTAGCTTAACATTCACATCAGTATGWAGCTCTGTTAAACAGCTGCACCGACTAATTCCACTGGTCCAGAGCTCGGCAAGCGAAAAGAAAACAATAACAAATACCTGACATGAATTATAGATACCCTGTAAACTGAGAAACAGCATACCCAGTTTATTCATTTGTTGTAGCAACCTACGGCATGCGCCCATAAATAATTGAAAATAAAACGAACTTTACATAATAATAGAAAAGTTAAGTTAAAGTTGTTTTAAGTTTAAGTTGGTTTGATAAAAGTCAACTTTTCTCTGTTACGGAGAGTAAGCTTATTTTATAAAATATTTCATTAAAATATTTCAAACAAATTTAATTATTTTCCCATAACAAACTATTAATTCACTTAATTTGACACGTGTTTTTAAGTTTTTATAAAGTGCATTAATAGCGTTTTAAGCATAGGAATATGCTGTCCTCAATCTTTAAATATATAACATAATAAAATAACATAAATAAAATTTAACATAAGGAAAAAATAATATATAATT